TCTTATGGAATTTATTCATATTTGATTTATGGCTGAGGATGTGGTCAATCTTGGAGTGTGTCCCATGTGGTGATGAGAAGAATGTATAGTCTGTGGTTGTTGGTCGAGTATTCTGTAGTTATCTATTAAGTCTATTTGATCAAGCATCAGTTTGAGGTTCTGGATCTCCTTATTGATTTTTTTGCCTTGATGATCTATCTAGGGTTGTTAATGGGGTATTTAAGTCCTCAGTTATGATAGCATTAGAGTCAATATCTTTTTTTAGTTTACTTAGTAGTTGCTTCATAAATGCTGGTACTCTCATGTTAGATGCATATATGTTTAGGATGGACATTTCTTGTTGATGGATTGAATCTTTTATTTCTTTTTTAAATTTTTGATAGCTTGAAGGTTGTTTTAAGTGGTATTAAAATAGTGACTCCTGCCTTCATTTGTTTTTCATTTGCCTGAAAGTTTGTTTTCCATCCTTTAATCTTGAGTCTGTGGGTGCGTTTTATAGTGAGATGTGTTTCCTCTAGGCAGCATATTGTTGGGTCATGATTTTTTTATTCAGTTTGCCAATATATGTCTTTTCAGTGGTGGATTTAGTCCATTCACGTTCAGGCTGACTTTTGAAATGTGAGGGTTTATCTCTGTCATGAGGCTCTTATAAAGTTTTTTGCTTGTTTGGTTTCTTTTAACTTTTTGGTTGATGTATGTGTGTGTTTTCAAGTGTGTGGTCATGATGTATTTTCTGTTGATTCTGTGGTTTCTTGTTCTCCAGGGAAATGCATCCTTTTTTAATTTCTTCTGTGTTTAATACCTCCTTAAGTGTGGATATCTGAGAAGGATTTTAATTCTCTGTTGCTGATGAAGCTTAGTTTAGCTGAATAGGAAATTCTTGGTTGGAATTGTTTATCTCTGAGAAATTTGAAGATTGTTGTCCAGTCTCCTCTACCTTAAAGCATTTTTGTAGATAAGTATACTGCTATTCTACTTGGCTTCCCTGGCAGGTAGTCTAAACTTTCTCTCTCAGTGTCTTTAGAATTTTTTCTTTTATACCTACTTTGTATAAGCAAATTACTTTGTGTCTGGGAGTTGGTCTCATTTTATGCCTTGCAGAGGTTCTCTGAATCTCTTGCAATTGGATGGTCATATCTCTGATGATATGAGGAAAGTTTTCTTGGATAACCTCATGGAATGTTTGTTCCAAGGTATTCTCTTTCTTCCTTTCTGTCTCAGGAATGCCAATCATGCATAAGCTTGGTTTCTTAATATAATCGCACATCTCTTAGAGGTTTTGTTCTGTCTTTTTAAGCTTCCTTTCTATGTTTTTATAGAGTAGCTCTCAAAATTAAGTTCAAATTTCTCATACAAAAGCCATTGTAATCTCACATTGCTTCTCTCCCCAATCTCATCCCTCATACCTCATCTTCAATGAGTTCTCTTATCTGCACCTGAAATGCCTGTCCACTGGTTCTTTACCTATTCTAATGCCTCCCTATCATTCAAACCAGTGCCTCAAACTAATTTTAACCTTTTTAAATGTATTCTCCAAGTACCAACGCAATCACTGTGTGAGGCCTTGGGGATAAATCACAGAATATCCTATTTAATTGAGATACATAGCACATTGCGCAGACCCACATCCACTTATCACAGAAAAAAATGGAATAATTAATTCTTGTCTGAAAACCTTGATTAAAGACAAAACAAAACAAATTATCTTTATGAAGCATCTACTGCATGCTTCAACATACAAGCAGCCAACAGATACATGAAAACATGCTCAGCCCTACTAATCATCAGAAAAATTCAAATCAAGCCACCTAACTTCAATAAAGATGGCCCTCATCAATAAATCAAAAACAACAGATGCTGATGAGAGTGCAGAGAAAAGGGACTGCTTCTATACTTTTGATGGGAGTGCAGACTAGTTCAACTGCTATAGAAAGCAGTGTGTCAATTCCTAAAAGAACTAAAAATTGACCTTCCATACACTATAGCAATCTCTCTCCTGGGAATATACTGGGAGGAACATAAATTATTCTACCAAAAAGACACTTTTTTCACATGTATATTTACAGCTGCACTATTTACAATAGAAAAAACATGGAACCATCCCCACTGCCCATCGAAAGTGGAGTGGATAAAGAAAATACCATACATACACACAATGGAGTATTATGCAGCCATAAAGAAGAATAAAATCATGGGATTAACAGCAAATTGAATGAAGTTGGAGACCATGATACTTAGTGATCTATCACAGAAACAAATAACTATATATATGAGTGAGAAAGTTTCTCTGTCATAAGTAGGACCTGAACTTTAATCACATTAGCACAAGGGAGGGACTAACAGTTGGTGGACACTGCCAGGAAGGGAGGCAGGAGGCACATGGCATCACAAAGAGCATCTGCTCCTAAAGCAGGGGAAGTGAAGGCCAGTTGACCTACTTGTGTAGCTAATCCTGACTTGTACCCCACATATCTATAATTTTTTTTAATGTGGATGCCCTGAGCCCTGCCCCCACAGATTCCAATTTTAGTAAGCCTAGGGTGGAATATCTATTTTTTTTAAGTTCCATTGGTATATTTGGCAAATGACTAGTGATAAGACAAACTGAGAAAGGCATAAGCAGATTCACAACATAGGTCTACTGTACTGCTAGACTACAGAAGTCTAACAACACCCTAAATCACTAAAACTACAGGATTTAGACTCAAACACTTCAGATATAGAAATGATGTTCGAGGTCATATATCTAGCTTCCTACCAAAATCTTCCCCTCAGCTCCACTTCCCCAATCACACACACACACACACACACACACACACACACACACACACACACACATGCCCATAGCTAACATAGCCAACACAAAATTCTAGATTCCCTAGCATGCCTAACAGACTGGCTAGAAGTCTGAGTTCTTGTTGCCCATGCACCTGATTCTGCAAGAATCTCACATCTAACCATGTCCAAAACATAACTCTAATCTCTCCCTAACAAACATGCTTCTCACTTAGTCTTCCCTATTTCAGTTAAAAAAAAAAAAAAAAACACCTGCATCCATGCAGTTCTGTAGAACAGAAAAAGACTGGGAGTCTAAGTTCTATCACTTCTTCCTCCAAGATATATCTCCAGTTCATCCATTTCTCTCCAACACAACTGCTACCGTCATCTCTCACCTGGTCTAGTGGAAACAGCCTCCTGCCTAATCTCCTCACTTCCTTACCTTCCTCTAATTTGTTCCCTACTCAGAAGTTATCTTTTTAAAACGTAAGTTAGGACATGTTGCTCTTTTATCTAAACTCCTTCAATTGTGTCTCATCACACGTTTCAGAAAAGCCAGATTCCTAATGTAGTCTACATAATACCTCATGATCAAATAATACTCTAATCACAATGAACCACTTTTCAGTTCCCCAAGTCAGAAAGTGATATCCTATCTCAAAGTCTTAGCACACACTATTCCTACTGCCTAGAAATGTTCTTCCCTAACTCTTTCCTTTCGATGTCATCTAAAATACCTTTTCCTTTGTGAGGATTTCCCTTATTCCATATTTAAAGGAGGGTTCCTCTGTTACTCTTACTTGCAGAACTCACTTATTATGGGTTGAACCATATTCCCCCCAAAACTCATCTGTTGAAGTCCTAACACTCAGTGCTTCAGAAAGTTACTTTGTTTGGAAATAGGGTCTTTGCAGAGGTGATCATGTTGAAATTAGATCATTAGGATAGGCCCTACTCCAATATGGTGGATGTCCTCATAAGAAGGGGAAATTTGAACACACATGCAAATAAAATAAAGATAATGTGAAGAGAAATATGAGGAAGATAGCCATCTACAAGCCATGGAGAAAATCTGAAACAGATTCTTCTTTACAGTCCTTGGAAGGAACAAACCCTTCTGACACTTCACAGTGATTTTGAACTTCACAGTTCTCCACAACTGTGAGACAATAAATTTCTCTTATTTAAGTCACCCAGTTTATAGTTCTTTGTTACAGCAGCCCAAGCAAACTAAAACACCAATCTTTTATGTCATAATATTTATCACAATTTATGACTACATGTGTGTTTGCTTAATTTTTGTCTTCTTCATCAGTTGATAGTTTTCAGAATGGTAGGAACTGTCTCTATTCTTATTCATTTATTTTAAATTATCACCAAATATCTTCCTATGCTGGCCCAAGGGAGAACAAGGCTCAACAAGAGCAAAAAAGAAATTCTGATGTTAAAAACAAATGTTGAATGGTCTAGAACAGGTATAGAAAAACTACAGTCATCAAACCAAATTTGGCCCACCTCCTATCTTCATAAGACTTGTGAGCTAGGAATGTTTTCCACATTTTTTAAATAGTTAAAAAAATCAAAATCAAATAACAGTGCATGATATGTTCATTATGCAATATTAACATTAAAAAATAAAATTTATTAAAACACAGACATACTCATTTAAATATTGCCTATGGGTACTTTCACGCCATAAGATAGTTGTGACACATCACATTGTTCACAAAGCCTAAATTATTTACTATCTGGCCATTTACAGAAAGAAAAAAAAAGCTTGCCATGCAATAATTATTGTAGGTGCACATTTGAGCACATTTAATCACTAGAACACCACTATAACATAGACTAACCAGGACATTCATCTTTTCTCCACTAAAAATTCCACAACAGACTACTGAACTATTCTTCTCCCTAGAATATCATAGTTCTGGTTTTATTAAGATTAATGAACAAAAAGGATTTGCTGATTAAAAATTTTCAACTTCCGTGAACTTTTGCTATAATGTATGTATTCTGATAAATGAGTGAGTCTCTAACTGTAAATGGAAAGTGTGATGATGATCATTACAGACACCTATTCAAATCTATCTATCCAAAATTAACAGTATACTATCATAGAAGTCAATTCTTAGGTACAAAACTAGTAATTGGCTGATTTAGATATGAATACATTATAGAGTAGGTCTTAGACTCGTATTCACACAAAAAGCACCATTTACCTTTGGTGGAGGAACAAATTGAACACATTCCAGCCATACGGTTATAAAGAACTTTCCACATATTGCACAGTTTTTTCCCCGAGAAATTATGTTTCTGGCCTCTGGGTACCAGTCTATGGCATGCATTAAGAAATTATTGTTTTCTGCTAGCTGATTCATTATAAATCTTGATGCTATTTCCTAAATTAAAAAAGAAGAATATAGTTCTTCAAATTATTTTCAAAATAACTATCTTACATTACATTGATTTCTCACTGAAAAAAAATGTTTGTTTTATTCCTCAGATTCTGTTAAATTAAGATTTTGCAGTATATTTCATGAATTGTGTTGTAAATGACTGGCACTGCAAATGAGTTTGGTTTCATCAATATAAGAACAGTAAGTTACACTATAATACTTCTAGAGCTCTTACACGTAGGAATCCAAGTCATAATAAATTTGCATTACATATTTTATAAAGTTGCATATAGTTTGGGTTCAAATTTTGTACTTTTCATTGTAATAAGCAAAGACCATACAAGCATTCAGGCTAGACTCAAAAATGGGTTTGTCATATTCACTAAAGTCTAAATACTTACTACTTAAACCAGGGTTCACAGATTGCATTGCCTGCAAGCTTATTAGAAATGCAGACTCTCAGACACACTACAGACCTACTGAATCAAAATCTGCAATTAGACAAGGTCCTTAAGTAATCTGTATGTGTGCTAAAGCTTAAGAAGTACCAGTCTAAATTTCTTCCTGCACTGAGTACCTGAAGAGCACCATCTTGGTAAAGTGCAATGACTTCTATGAACCAAATCTCTGAATTCAATCTGTCTTAGACCTCTCCACAGAGACACGTTCGGAAAATTGATTTTATGCATTAATATTATAACTTTAAATAATAAAATGGGTAGTGAGGAAATGGAATTTGTCTTTCAACTAGGGTTTTCAACAACAGCATCATTTTTAAATATATTATATGACATGTTACATTAAATCTTCACTAAACCAGTAAAGAAAACAAATAAACATTTGCCTAAATCCATTAAACATTATCCATTGTTGATACCAGTAGTGTGGAAGTCATGTCTAAATGTTACACAAACACTGCTTGAAATTTAAATAGTGTTTGGGGATGATTTATTTGGGACTTTTCTTTTTCTGACCAAAGGGACAAGATTTCCCAGTAGTACAAAATAGTCCACGTCAGGATCTGATAGAAATCTTTGGAAATGCATACATACATAATTTCACTCATCCACCCCAATAAAAACCTTTAAACATTTTTAAAAACAACAGCAATAATCCTATAAACTGCTGTTTCCCTGTGTCCTGTTACCCTATCCCTCCCAGTTAACAAGCCTCTCGGAAAGCTGCTTTTATAAGGCAAACAGCCCTCCCTGAGCACGGATTCCATTTATGTCTGATCCTTTAACAGTACAACCTCCTACCCACTTTAGCTCATTCTCCTGGATAGTTACATGACTGAGGTCATGTTTTCACACATTACCAGGACTTCTAAATCAGATGTTTATCATCACCCTTTCTCCAACTACTTAAGTAGAGCATAGCTTGTGATTCTGAAGGAAAACTGACTTTACAGGTTGTTTTTTAGCGACATGAATTCAATGGCTAAGGGCTCACTATAAGCTGCAGAAAACTCATAGACAAGACTTCATTCCCCAAAACAGGAGATGGGAGAGGATTTGCTGAAATACACGGGACCTGTGAATTGGTTCAAACCGACCACTTTTTCCATTTATGATTTGTGTACCCAAACATGTCTGTTGCACTCAGTACATCCCTTGACACCATTTACATCACCCATTATTTATATTCTTCTCTTACTTGCTGCCAGTGTGTTACTTTGGAAGTATAACAAATACCATTTAAATATATAGTAATTTTTTGGAAATGTGAGTACATAGAAAATAAGATACTACTGGCATGACTAATAGTATCTTTTAGGACATCTATTAGAGATACATTCAGTGTAGTTTTTGAGAATATACAATTTAATGATGGTTTAATTCAAGTGTACTTTAAAAATCAATAAATCTTTTATAGAAAGATTTTTCCATAAATATATTTTTCTTATTGAAGAGCTTATATTTTATTTTGCTATAACATTTGTAAGTTAACTATACATGTGTGTTATATATATATATTCTAATCCATCAGAAACTGAAATTGTTTTAATGTGTATTCTTTTATTTGTCTTTACCCAGTATACCTTTACATATAACTATATGATTTGAATTATTAAACGATTCATATACAAATTACACTTACATAAGTATAAAAAATTATAAAATGTAAAAACAAATATGAACCCTTTGAGGGAATGATAACTTTGGAATTATTATATAATTAATTGTTACTATGTATTTCTGAAAGGCACTAAAATAGAGCATCAGGAGCAAAGATTCTGAGTCAGAGTTAGACACATAGATGCAAATTCTGGCTCTATGGCTTATTAGCTTTATGACTTGATTTGGGTAACTCTTTAACTTTTCTGATCTTGGAAACCCCATCTGTAAAAAAGGAATTTTTTCCAATACTATCATATAAAGTTTGGAGAATTAAATTATATAACAATGGTAAAACATTTAGCCTGACATCTATTAATACAGCATATTCTGATTTATATTTTGCTATAAAATAGTTATTAGCATTAAATTTTAATTACCAAATCTCTGAAGTGAAGTTTTAAAAAATCTTCACCAAGACACAGCCTGTATCAAAGGCCTATAATTTCTGACACCCCAAATAGTTTAATCAGTAACACTGACCAAATGTCCAGTAGAAATGACTTTCAATTTAAATACAAATATTAAATATATAATCAATTTAAGTCACCTTTGTAAGGAAATTTTCTTGAAATGTTTTCAAAAATACCAAGATCATTTATATATTACAAGCAAAAAGTTATAGAAATAACTATAATAGACTAAAATTAGACTAAATATATATTTTAAATTGACTATTGTGTTCTAAGACCTTATAGTTTTAAAAATTATAAATGTCCTTCTCTCACCTTGAATCTTGGTCCTAGTCACAGGGCAATGCTCTTGTCTTAAAGGGCTCTCTACAGAGACTATTATTACATTGGGTTAACTGCTTATCCAACCTCCTCTATGAACCAGAACCTCCTCCAAACTAAGACTACCCTGTCTACTTTATCTATCTTTCTGCATCTTCCTTCTTAGCCAATATTGCAGAAGGGGGTCTGGAGCCCAAATGCTTAAGTTGACATCATTGTCCCAACACTGAATAGCTCTGTAACCTTATACAAGTTATTTGACCTCTCTGGGTATCAGTTTCTTTATCTATAAAAAGGAGACAATAGTGGTACCTACCTTTTTGGGCAATCAGAGCACTAAGTTTATTCCATTTAAGTGTTTAGAACAGTATCTTGCCTATATTAAACTTAAAATAAGTGTTAGCTACTATTATTATTCTAACATGCTTGATGCAAGGGGGAAAATATGCTATGAGGTAATTTAAAAATTAAATCCTAATGTTTTAAATGATCTATAAATAAATCTCAACTGAGTTTTGGGGGTTTTTATTGGTTTGCTTCACATAACAGTAAGAAAAAAAAGCCATTTGCCAAAATATTCTCTGGAAGAGATTTGATTAAAAAGAACTAATCAAATAGTAAAAGATACCAGTTCTTTGGTCCAGCAGTTTCATTCATAGGGGTAATATGGACATGAGCTGCAAATTTACTTCGAAGATGATCACTGTAACTTCCTAGGGAAGTAGTGAAGAACAGTATGATATCATCATATACCTAAATACCATTCATCCATCAAAAAAGATGTCATGGACAAGGTTATGTTTGTTTTTTACTAATTGAAAAGATATTCACAATATTTTGAGTGAAAAAAAACAAGGCTCTAAATAGTGCATAGAATTTGAAATTATCTTCAATAAAAAAAATTCTGGGTGAATAGAAAGTTCTAAAAGAAAAATTATCAGAGAGAATGGTTAGAGCTATACATACTGGATTTCTTCATGTTTTTATCAACTTCTACTGAATAATTTTTTTCTAATTTCTCTAAGATGATGATGATGATGATGATGATGATTATTATTATTTTTGAGTTGAAGTCTCACTCTATCACCCAGACTGGAGTGCAGTGGCCGCTCCCGGCCACTGCAGCCTCGACCTGCTGGGCTCCAGCGATCCTTCCGCCTTAGGCGCGCGCTGCCACACCCGGCTAATTTTTTTATTTATTGTAGAGATGAGGTCTCACCAAGTTGCCCAGGCGGGTCTCAAACCTGCAGGCTCAGGCAATCCACTCACCTCAGCCTCCCAAGGCGCGGGATTACAGGCTGAGCCACCGAACCCAGCTAGATTATTTTTTATTACTTTTATAGTCAGAAACTTTTTATAAATCAATATAACAAATTTTTTCTTGCTCAACTATATTTTTTAGCTTCCTGTAATAAACATGTATTACTTATACAATAAGACGGGAAAAATGTTAAGCCATTGAACAAGATCAGTTGTTTCTTGCAGCCAGAAAACTTGAATCCTATATGATTCCTGCATATAGTGTTATGATGATCCTGCATGTTCAGCTGTATACTCAAATAGATCTGGGAAAATGTGAGATAATCTGCAATTTTTTACTTGTCTTTTACCAAAAGAGTCATCTGATATGCTTTCGATTCCTTATTTTGATGCCCTCAAAGTTTTTAACTAAAGTTAACATAATTTCTGGATCATATTTACTCATCCATTAGAGATGGAGACAAATGAAAGGGAATGGAAGATGCAAAGACTTCTCTAAGAACAAATCAAATACATCTTTCGATAATATTGAGAAGGCTAAAGTGAAAATCAATTTACCTCTTTGCTTTTAATCCAGCAAATTATATCTATTTTTATGAACTAAGCTACTCTGGAAAATCGATAGAATACATTGGATTGCGTAATCAAGTCAAAAAGATTATGTGTAGGATGTACCTTGCCAGTGAACTAGGGTTACATTTATCATTTGCTGGCTTGGCAAGAATGTCTTTTTAAAAGAAAACTCTTTAAAGCTCACATTGTAGATTTAGTTTGAAGACTTAGTGAATAAGTTAAGCCTTCACCTGTAGACTCCAGATGTTCTCTTGTTGTGCAGCAATAACTGGCCGCATCAGGAACAATGGGTTTCCCTCACAGTAGAATTCCCTCAGCTTCATATCCTGAAACTTTCAAAACAAAATAAAAACTTTATTGTACAACAAAATAACAAACTTCAACTCTGAAGCTATATCTTCAATAAAATTAGACTAAAATTACTTTATTTAGGATTTATAATCCATATTCATATTTTTTTTTTGAGTTGGAGTCTCACTCTGTCACCCAGACTGGAGTGCACTGGCCGCTCCCGGCCACCGCAGCCTCGACCTGCTGGGCTCCGGCGATTCTTCCACCTCGGACCCCCAAGTAGTTGGAACTACAGGTGCGCGCTACCACGCCCGGCTAATTTTTTGATTTATTGTAGAGATGAGGTCTCGCCAAGTTGTCCTGGTGGGTCTCGAACCCACGGGCTCAGGCAATCCACTCACCTCAGCCTCCCAAGGAGCGGGATTACAGGCTGAGCCACCGAGCCCGGCTCCATATTCATATTTTAAGACTAGGGCATACTCTAGTTGTTAGAAGCACAAGACTTTTAATGCTGGCATGAATGGCCATGACATGCCATTCCAGGTCATGCCTCTGTAACAGACAGTTGAGACAATCTGATTAGGGTCATAGAACTGGTTAGTAATAGAACAGTGTTTAGCAAATCAAATGCTGGGAACATTTTGCAAGAATTATATTTGTTTCAAAAAAAATCAAGCATAATTAAAAATAGCATTCCAAAATATGACAAACTCTTGGTCTCAAAGACTGTCTTATGTCCATTTATGTTTAATGAGGAAAGTAAGAAAAAATTGGAACATCAAAATGTTCTCATTGTAACCTGTTGTGCGGTGCAAAAATAAAAACAGGAAAATGTATGGTTCACAAGAATACTTAATCTTTGATAGCGCAAATCTAAATTAAACTAGAATCTACTACTTCAGTAGAAAAAGAAAAGTTTACTTTTACAGTATTAAATATTAAGCCTTTCCTCCAAATAACCCATGTGGTTTTCAAAGTTAAACTATTTTAGGGAGTTATTTCCTTTAGCCTAAATTTCAGCTATAAAATGGGGATAATAAGACCTATCACCAGTGGTATTCTGGTAAACCAGTTCCCTGGAAAGAAAAAAATAAAAAGTTCTAATTTGTGGTATGTGTTAATTCCATGGTGTAAATACTCCTATCACGGCTGATTCAAGTCACTGAACACTGAGTTGGAAAGAGATGTGCAAAGTCAGCTCTTGTGAGCTGGGATGAACTGGCTCCACACTGTCACAGCTCACAAAATTTAGGGAAGAATTCAAGATCTTTCTGTTATTTCAGCCCAGGATTTGAAACACAGCAAGCACTCGATAAATTAAAAATAATTTATTTAAAACATCTTTCTGGCTGGGCTCAGTGGCTCAGCCTGTAATCCTGCATTTTGGGAGGCTGAAGTGAGTGGATTGCCTGAGCCCGCAGGTTCGAGACCCGCCTGGGCAACTTGGCGAGACCTCAACTCTACAATAAATCAAAAAAATTAGTCGGGTGTGGTAGTGTGCACCTGTAGTTCCAGCTACTTGGAAGGCTGAGGCAGAAGGATCGCTGGAGCCCAGCAGGTCAAAGTTGCGGTGGCCAAGAGCGGCCACTGCACTCCATTCTGGGCGACTGAGTGAGACTCCAACGCAACAAAATAAAATAAAAAATAAATAAAAATAAAAAAATAAAACATCTTTCTGGGGCATTGGGTAATTGGGTCTCAAAAGATACAAGAAAGCTTGTGCAACACAGACAAGATTTTTAAAGAAGATAGAGTTCGGCCACATTGGTGTCACTTTGAGTCCTGGTCTCAAAATAGACATTCTAACTTAATTTGGTTTCCTATGCTATTTGTCTCAAGGGAACAACCTAGAGAGTTGAAGTCAATGTCAGCCCTAAGTCAGTGCTAGATATGCTCAAATGAAAAGGACATTCCTTGTAATGAATACTATATAGGACCATCATTTTTTTTCTTTCTGTTCTAAAGAATATTATACCATAATTTATACCTAAATTCAAGTCCTTTAAAAAAAAATCACCATTTCAAACTTGAACACTTGGTATATCTAAGTATCATTAATATATATGAACTTCATTTCAAAGTTGACCATAGTTCAAAGGGCATGCATTTGTCATCAGGGATTATGTTTCTCCTCCTTCAAGTCCTGTCACTATTCATCTATCAAACATGGCAAAGAGTTCTCCAGCTTGGTAACTCACTACACATAATTTATCAGAAGGAAATCTCAATGGGAAGAAAATTTAATAGCATATGTTTTGCAGCAGGTAAGTCTCAATAACCTAAAGTCACACAATTTTTTGATATCCACTCTGAGTATTCTGCAGTGAAACATCTTTCATGCCCTCTTTCTATATACACTACTTGGTTTTCTGTCAGCCTGTCTTGAGAGAGCAACACTCTTTGCCATAATGCTCACTCCAGTAGTAAATCAGCTGCGTTCCCCTCTGATAGCAAAATGTTACTAGGACTTTTCAGTCTATGTACATGCCTATGATAAAACAATCAGTGTTATGAATTTAATTTCAACTATATAATTTTGATGCCCTCCCTGGAAAGGCCTGCTGACATTTTTGTTGTCACACTTGGTATGGGGGAATGCTACTGACATCTAGTTGGTAAAAGCCAGGAATGCTGCTAAAAGTCTTACCCCACAGCATAGAATTATCAGGCCCCAAATGTCAACAGTGTTCAAATTGAATAACTTGGTTAAGAGGCACAAGAGCATAAAAAGTCACTGAAACATCAGAACTGGAGAGGAGATTGGCAGTTGGAAGGAGATGACAGTTCAAATGAAGATCGATCTATCTATCTATCTATCTATCTATCTATCTATCTATCTATCTATCATCTATCTATTACCATGCCCAGCCTGTTTTTATACTTTTAAGAAGGCTGGAAGATATAAAAGGTATGTGTCAATATAGAGAGATTAATGCAGAGAAGAAAGAAGGAATAATTAAACAAGAAATGGTGGCTAGGTACAATGGCTCACACCTGTAATCTCAGCACTTTGGGAGGCAGAGGTAAGAGCATTACCTGAGCCCCAGGATTTCAGACCAGCCTGGGCAACTTGGCAAGACCTCATATCTACAATAAATTTAAAAAATTAACCAGGTATGATGGTGTGCACCTGTAGTTCCAGCTACTTGGAAGGCTGAGGTGAAAGAATTGCCCGATCCCAGCAAGCCGAAGCTGTAGTGGCCATGAGTTTTCCACTACACTCCAGCCTGGATGACAGAGTGAGATTGACTCAAAAGAAAGGAAAGAAGGAAGGGAGGGAGGGAGGGAGGGAGGGAGGGAGGATGGATCAAGTGAAGAACACAGAATGATCTTTGAATATTAATATTTTTAATCACCCTCTCCTTCATGGCTAAAGGAAAGGTGTACATCAAAAAGTAAAGGAATGAGCATGTTATGTGTACTCAAAATTAAAGAGTAGGATTAGTCCTTTATGATCTAGACCAGATAGAGAAAGAAATAACAATACACAGCTCTAATAGACTGGCAACAGAAGACATTGAGAACATGAAGTCTCAATGACCTACATGAAAAGATAAGGATATAAAGCAATAAGAGAGCTTGAATGCAGAAGAAAACCAGTGGTGACACTGTCACAGTGGACCTTAATTCTTCATATGTAGAGCAGGCAAAGGTGATGCCAAGGTCTAGACATGACTGTGGATATGGTTTGTTGAAGTGAAGACTGGGAAAGCTCATTAAAACTAATAATTCAAGAAACTTTGAGGCTAAGGAATTTGTGTCAACTACCTTGCTTGTTAATGGTCTCAGATATTTGGCTATTTACTAGACATCTCCAGCTGGAAGTCCCACAAACACCTGAAATTCTAACATCCTAAGCCTGAACTCATGTTTCCTCCAAAATTTGCTTTTTTCCTTTCTTCTCATCACCTATATCAACTCTCTTACCATGTCCTGTCAATTCTGTCTTCTTAAAACTTTCGGATTGATCTTCTCTTTCCATCCCCATCCCATCTACCACCTTGCCTTTCCATACAACCTCCTCCTATTCCCTGCCTCCACCCACTACCCACTCAACCTTTATGGAGGCCTCTGTCTTATGTGAATTATTGCAATAGTACTCTAATTGGTCTTAGTGCAAACTTTTGCTGATGAAGTGGTTTTTTAAACTGAAAATCTGGTCATAATACAACCCTACTTAAAACTTTTCAAGACTCCCTTTTGTCCATAGAGTAAATTCAAAAGCCCTCATGTGCCATCTTGGATCTCTTTGGCTGATTACTCAACCATATATCCTGGGAAGCTCATCTTCACTTTTCTAAGACTCTAAGGTACTCAGAGATCTCATAACAGGCCTGTGTCTTTTCTCACAGTTATTATTCATGCTATACCCTTTTAAATCACTCCACACCTGTATCATCTCTTCAAGACTAAAATATCACCTCTCTAAACTGCTCCAGTCTCTGTCAAATATTTGTGTCCTTATTAGATCTTGTATATAAATTAATCATATCACCTATGCTCTGAGACAATCATTGTTGAAAAGCCTATCTTCATCCAACAGGCTTCAGTCTCTCTAAAAACTATGTCTTAAGTGACAATATAACAGAAGCTCAAAATTCAGTACCTAGTACACAGCTGATGCTCAATAAATAACTTATAAATAAATGAACACCTTCTCAGAAACTTTAGGCACACACAGCTTTCCCTGTGTACTCAAGATTTGCAAATGCCTTTTTCTCCAGACTTGGTAAATTGTTATAACTACTCCTACAAAGCTGCAGGCCTTAGAAACAATATACAAATTTAGCAAGTCCTTCTGTTGCTTCAGACTAGCCTGAAGTAATGGGGGAAAGCAGAAGGGGACTAGTTTAACAATAGCATTTTAAATGTAAACAGGGGGAAAGGAGGCTGAGATTTCACATGGACTCAAAAATAGAACCAATAGTAAAGGATGGCAAATTACCATGCAACCTTCCAACCATCTCAAAGCTCACAGGGTCACTCTCTAATGAGAACCGGGCTTTCTAAATAGGCTTAAGGCCAATTTTCGAGGAGAGTA